ACATATCTGACTACCATGGAGCTGAACCCTTCTTGAGAAGCCGCCAGTTACACAGCTGCTCAGGAATTTCCCGACGTTTTACGGAACCCAAATGTTCATTACCGTGTTCACAAGATCCCTCCACTGGTCTCTATCCGGAACCAGATCAGTTTAGGCCATACCACCCCATTCTGTCTCTCATGTCATCGTAGTACTGTCCACCCATCTGCGTCTAGGCCTTCCTAGTGGTCTGTTTCCGTCTGGCTTTCCCACCAGACTCCTGTATGCATTCCTCTTCTCTCCCATTCGTGCCACATGCCTTGCCTATTTCATCCTCCTTGACTTGAGCATTGCAATTATTTTTGGCGAAGAGTACAAGTTATAAAGCTCCTCATTTTGCAATTTTCTCCTGCCACTTCATCCTTCTTCGGTCAAAATATTCTACTCAGCACACTGTTTTAAAACATTCTCAGCCTGTATTTCTCTCTTAATTTAAGAGACCAAGTTTTACACCCACACAGAACCACAGGCAAAATTACTGTTTTGTATATTCTAATTTTTACATTTTTAGACAGCAGACGAGAAGATAAAAAGTTCTGGACTGAAAGGTAGGAAGCATTACCAGAATTAGATCCTCTTAATTTTCCCCTGAATCAAATTTGTATTTGTTACTGTCGTTCCCAAATATATGAACTTTTTGACAGTTCACATGTTTTAATTTGTATATGTTTAAAATTAAGTAATAATTGGAACTATTTTAGTTTTCGGCAGGTAACCGGTTTGAGTTTTGTGTGTGTGCGTTTTTCTGTGTTTGTGTACAGGTAGAGAGGCCTTGCGACGAGGTGATCACCCCCCCAAGGAGTCCTACCGAATGTGTAAGATCTAGAAAAATTGAAGTGAACGGAGAAGTTCGTGGAGGTAGGCCTAGGCCCACTGGGGCTGTAGTGCCAAGGGAAAGAAAGAAAGAACCGGCATGAGTACACAGTAGTGGTGGTTCTTGGAACCGAAGTCCATCAAACCTTGGGATAGGCACAATTTGCAGTGATATGAAGTGCAAATAGGCATGTGTCATTGTTGAAATAACATAAGGAATCTGTGTTGGGTCTAAGAGACATTAATGTAATCCAGTCTTAAGGCGTGAGAGTGCGTGCTAAAGAGGCTAGAGTAGTGGTCATCGCATTGGAGATGCATACTCTGACTCTCTTGTTATCCGCCGAAGTTATTTAAGAGTCGCATGAAATGATGGCTTGTGTTGTGAATTGTAAATAATGAGTAGTGAGCGAGCATAATGTACTTCGAGGTGCTATTCTCTTTTACTGTCCCAGGCTCTGAAAAAAAAAACGAAGGAATTATACTGTTTTCCAGCAGAGTATCGAACCCGGTATGAACCCATTACAGACCTGTACTGCAGAAATAACCTGTTCTGTGGGATGCAATAAAGAGCCCAAAAGTGGGAGGTGGCAGAGAGAAGCATTTTCATGACTGAAAACCACGAGGTCGGTCACTTGCAATTTCTCTCTGTTAGTTACGCCTACTGGCATAACGGGATTATTGATCAAACTGAGACAGTAGTTCCATGAATCAGCAGCAAGAAGTTAAAAACTTTGGCAGATTCTTGAGGATGGGGCTAAAGTGGACGAAGCAGCAGTAGTAGGTAAGGATTTCTCTGAATTCATCGATTTGCTCCGCCAGTTCAGGTTTCACCAATTACTCCATATTTAGCAGTCATGTGGGGCTGGTACAGTAGGTGGCCAGGAGCTTGCATTTCATGTGGGCTTAGCCCCACAACACTCACCTAATAGGGGAGTGTGGATAAAGCTTCACGCATTCCTGTTTTCTACACTAATTACTAGGGGTCAGCATCATGACTCTGGTACTTAGTCCCTTGGGTACAGACCCCTTCTCCATCGCTCGTTATGAGATTGGGAAGACCCAAAAGGCGGTCAGGGCGTGATGGAGAAGAGAAAAATCCCTGTCAGGATTGAGACCTCCGTTGTCCGCCCCATGTCACGTTTACGTAATGACCGAGCTACGGAGGAAGATGAAAAGACTGTACCAGGCCCTAAACAAATATCATTGTTTTGGGAGAGCAGACATTGTATTCCTACCATCGGATGCGGTCCACCAAGCATAGTGGTACTGCGAGAGACTTTGCGCATTGTGCCGTGCGCAAGACGACCTTGGCTGACGTGAATAGCCAGACGTTGCACTTGGAGTGCAGTTGCGTTATTTGCAGTTCAAGTTTGTTAGGATGGTTTTGAATTTCAGAGTAATAAATCCTCTCCTACTTAAACGTATTCCAAAGCAGTTTGTCTTCACTTATAAAATGAGAAGTGTGAATAAAACGGATGAAGTGTCGAGTCCGGTAATGATAAACAGACAAGTGACTGAAATCATGCGGCTGAAACAAAATACGACTTCACACAGTTTCATTAGTTTGGGGCGCATATTTTGTTATAACTAATAAAGCGAAGAAGGATGAACGAACGTTATGTAAGTGACAAGCCAGGCACTGCCATGAACAGGATCTGTCATTCCGTTTGAAGTGCTTGATATTAATCCTTTCGGGTTATCACATCACTAATACACGTTCTTCTTTAGGTTACTTCGTATTTATTAAAAATTAAGTGTAGTAAATATAAGCAAACATTTTCTGTATTTCTGTCATACTACTGATAATTCTGATTTGTGCAAGTGGAATTATTGTTGTTGTTGTTATTATTATTATTATTATTATTAGTAGTAGTAGTAGTAGTAGTAGTAGTAAGGGCGCGCCATGGCTCAAGCGGTTAGTTGCTGGCTTCTCACCGCGGCGGCTCGGGTTCGAGCCCGGGCCTGGTCAAGTGGGATTTGTGGTGGACAGTGTGGCGCTGGGGCCGGTTTTCTCCGAGTACTAAGGTTTCCCCTTCCAATCTTCATTCCACCAAATTCTCCATCATCATAATCACTCGGGTCAGGTATAATGGGCCAAACTGGACGCCACCCCCCACTATGCGAATTAAAAAAATAGTAGTAGTAGTAGTAGTAGTAGTAGTGTGACTCGAGGCAGGTCAGTCAGTAAGTGACTTTATACGGACTGAACTGCCGGGATTGGTTCCCAGAAAAGACGATGGTTTCACTTAAACATCAAGTCCTGATCGGCTTTTGAGCACTGCCAGTGGGTTTAAAGCGGTTGAGGCGTGAAGGTGGCCATTCATCGCCATTAATTGCCTGCCGAGGTCTATAATATCTGTAGCTTTACTTTCGCAGCCCTTCGGATTAAATAACAATTCCACACACACATCATTCCACCTTCATGGTGTAGTAGTAGGGCACAGGAGTGGCTTTATCTTTTCCTACTACTACTACTACTACTACTGCTGCCGCCGCCACCACTTCAGGGAGGGCATTGAGAGCCTGCCGCATGTCGCATGGCCAGTAAAACGGAAGAGAGACATGTTTCTCGTATCAATCATTTATGAGAGAGTTCGGACCTGCAGCGGAATATACAACTCCATAGGCCAACAAATCACATAAAACGAGCAGATCATAGCAGATGCTGGAAACGGCCCATGATATTATACATGCTTCACACGTACCTCCGCAAAGTCTTCACATTCAGCCACTGAAGGTCCTTTTCGGAAACTTTAAACCCCAGTATAATGGATTTTCGAGAGGATTGTTAATAAACTAGCACCGATTCCATCCAGCCCTCTTCAATAAGAATTTGGGATTTTGATTCGCTTCTTTTCTTCCACCAAAGATCCTGTCTTAAATTTATCTACCGTTGTAGGAATATTTTTTTTCTGCTTGGAATTGTAACATCCTGAAATTTATGGGGGAATCTTTCCGTTACTTTTCGCACACGCCTCGTACACAGACACTCACTGTACATTTCGACACAAGAAGTAACGCGACTGTTCGGAATTACGGACGAGAGACACGTAACACATAAGCTCTCTTGACAGCGATTCAAAGACTGTTGGGTTGATATTGAAGAGAAAGTGTAATTCAGATACTCATAAGCTGCTCGTATTGGCTTATCGAGTATGCCAGAGTCCGAACACGAGCCATGGTAGATGCCGCGAGTATCGTGTATACCTCCCGCCCGACCTGCCGAACGAGTTGCGGCACGCTCTCGGACGACCTCCCTGTATCATTGCTACCAAATAATAACAATAATAGAATAATGCCTTCCGCGTATTCCGTGCTAGTCTGGTACAGACACCCGCAAAATGTAGGCCTATGTTAATTATTTTCTCTTTATAGTATATACATGTATTTCGATTTCTGCGTGGTCTTCACCTTATACCTGTTAATAGATTAGGCTTACCAAAGAGATGATGATGATGATAATAATTCAATTCGTGTTTATTTACATGCAAACTTAACAGCACATAGGCCAGTTACAAAGTTAGCACGAGTACATAGAAACACACAAAAATAATTAAAGAACAAAGTACAAAATACGACAGTCTATGCAAGGGCAATAAATTAATAATAATT